GAATAATGTAGTTGCTTATGGAGCTGATAATGCTTCAGTTAATTATGGAAAACATTGTTCTTTAGTGATATCCCCATTAGCCGGAACAATTGGTGCAGAGCACTTTCCGGGATGAGAGATTTCCGGCTCGCCAGACGACTTTCTCAAACCTGGAAAAATTCCTTATCCCCGCAATCTTTTCCGGTTACTGGGAAAAGTTTCCGAGTGTCTAAACTAGGTACCTTGCACGGACGGACACTAGCCCACTTCCCCAGAATGTTTCTGCATGCTGGGGACGTTTTCCTCGAGTCTAAACTACCAGGGTCCATAAATGCAGTTCTAATTAAGTTAGAAACTCCATTTTTTACTATAATGGGCCAGAGTACTGTAGTATATTTTAATGTTTGTTAAAAAATTTAGTCCTTTACCATTGTACATTTGAGAAACACCACAACATCACTCACACAACATCTAGAGTTTAAAGTCTTGTGTGAGACGCTGTGAGTTGGAGGGAGGGAGGAGACATGGGGCAAGGAAGGATGGAGGCAGGGAGTACATTTGAGTACAGAAATATGTTGCTTACATTATGGATTTTTCATTGGGAAAAGGCTGTATGTATTACTAACCCCGGTGTTCAAGAAAAAGCCGTAATATAAGCAACATATTACTGTACTCAAATGTACTCCCTGCCTCCAACTCACAGTGTCTCACACAAGACTTTAAACTCTAGATGTTGTGTGAGTGGTGTTGGGGTATTAATAATAACTGGTCTAAGGTTAAAAATCCTTTGAAAGCATTTGAGGTGGATGTAGGGTAGATGATTAGAGGGTCTCATGTTTTTGACCTGACCTGTTATGATGTCACCCATTTTTTATATAAGCTCTCCTTTCATTTGCGGTGGAGGTGGTGCGTGGATTAGTGAATCCCATGTTTTTGACCTGACCTGTTATGATGTCACCCATTTTTTTATATAAGCTCTCCTTTCATTTGCGGTGGAGGTGGTGCGTGGATTAGTGAATCCCATGTTTTTGACCTCACCTGATGTTATGTCACCCATTTTTTTATATAAGCTCTCCTTTCATTTGCGGTGGAGGTGGTGAGTGGATTAGTGAATCCCATGTTATTGACCTCACCTGATGTTATGTAAGGTATACAAGACTCAGTCCCTGTAAATTCAGTTGCCTCTGAAGATGTTTTGAATAAAGACTAAAGCTAAGGTGCTCCAGTGTAGTTAGTTGATCAAGAGGTAGCAGTGAACAACACACGTGGTGGCAGCAGGACACAGACTGAGCGGATGTACCATAAACAAATCTGACACGCCAAGCGACGTGAGGCGCACTTAGTGCAGAATTTAACGAAATCATGCTTGATTTAGTGAAATACAGTAGTTTGGTAAATTGAGCAAAAATTGCAGGAATTTGATTTCGCGGAAATTTTGATTTAGTGGAAACGGGTGCCACAAATTAGTTCATTAAATCGAGAAAATCTTGTACTATTATTTGTATGCAAATAGCCAACTCTCCCTCTGATAAAGCCAATCTCGTTGGCACCTTATTCTCCTCTAACTCCACCTTAGACGATTCCAACTCTATCCCTCCTACTGAAACTATGCACTTCCCATAATCTCCACTCGTAGGGTTGCTGGTGTGTTATCCAGGTTAGACGGAATACCCTCTCATGTTCTGGGAGTGTGTGCTGAAATTCTAGCCCCCGTGCTTGCTTGTCTCTTTCACCTTTGCCTCAAAACCCAAACTTTTCCTTCTTCTTGGAAGCATGCCTTGGTTCAGCCCATCCCAAAGAAGGGTGACCATTCCAATCCCTCTAATTATCACTCCATTGCCCTAATTTCATCCCTTCGAAATTTTCTTAAACTCTCATCTTCCCCGACACCTTGAACGCTTTTCTATTTTGTCGGATCACCAATATGGTTTTCGCCACGCGAGATCTACTGGTGATCTGCTCTCCTACTGCACCCATCTTTGGTCATCCTTTCTTAGGGATTATGGGGAAACTTTCTCCGTGGTCCTCGACATCTCCAAATCATTTGACAGGGTATGGTCTTTGCTTTCTAAACTTCCTTCTTATGGTTTCTCTCCCCCCCTTTGTTCTCTAATTTCCAGCTTCCCTGAAAACCGACCCATGGCAGTTGTTGTCGAGGGATCGATCTCTCACTCTTTCTCTACCAATAATGGTGTTCTTTCACCAACTCTCTTCCTTCTCCTTATCAATGATTTACTTCACACAACGACTAATTTTATCCATTCTTATGCTGAGGATTCTACTCTTCACACCACTTCACATTTTTCCCTTCCCCCTATTTCTCAAATTACAGTAGATCTGTTTCTAGAGCCGATATCATATCATCTATCAAAGTGGATCTATGCAGTCTCTTCGAATATGCTAGGCTTCACCATTTTCTCTTAATATGTCATGGAAGCCACACATCCTCATTCCTCAACATTACTAAAGCTGCCTCCTGAAAGCTGGGAATGCTGTACAGATGCCATAGCTACTCCACTCCTGAGCAGTTGCACCAAGTATATAAGGGATTCATTCGTCCTAACTTGGAGTACTGCTCTCATATCTGGGGTGGCTCTTCTTCTGTCCAACTGTTAGATAGGGTGGAATCAAAGGCATTTTGTCTTATTAACTCTCCCCCTTTAGTTGATAATCTCTTCCCTTTCTCTTCTCCAAAATGTTGCTTCACTCTCTCTCTTTTACAGGTACTTTAATGGGCAACGTTCGGTGGATTTGGCATCCTGTGTACCTCCAGCAAGGCCGAGGGCTCTTAACACACGTCTTTCCCACGGTGCCCAGCGTGTTTCTGTGGATGTCGGTCAGACTAGAATAAACGGTTATAGTGCTTCCTTCTTTCTTCACACAGCCAAACTGTGGAATGCTCTGCCATCTTCTGTGCTTCCATACTCATACAATGTTTCACTTCAAAAAGCTGGTTTTCCGGCATCTTTGTGGTGTAGATTAATATACAGCTCCTCCGCGTCTTACGACGGGGTCAGGGACCCAAATCCAGGTCGTAAGTTGAAAATTATAGAAAATCTAAAATAAGTGTCTTTTTTTCTTCTCAGCACCACAAAACTCTCACTTTTAAGCTTGTCAGCAATTTTAAAGTAAATTACAAACAAAAATTTTGTCTGTGTACTGACGTTAGGACTCGAAAATATGTAATTTGACAAAATTTTGGTACGACTGAGGCAGGTCGTAAGTCCGGGTGGTCGTAAGTCGAGTAGGTCGTAAGTCGGGGAGGAGCTGTAATCTTTTTCTTTTCTATTTTTAATTTCATTTTTTTCTTACTTTTTCGCCCCCCAGGCCACGTTGTGGGTCAATGACCTGTGCCCGGGTGGGCTATTCCCCCCCCCAAAAAAAACATTAAATGAATTTCAACAAAAAATTGTAACCCTGGCAAATGTTGCAGTGTTTGAGGATGTAGTTCAAGATGATGTGGTTGAGTTGCTAGAGTCCCATAGAGAAGATCTGTCTTATGATGATCTGACGTTGGAACAGGAGCGAGCTGCAGGAGAGGAAGATATATAAGTTCCAAACACCGCGCTTGAGTTGACAACAAAGTCAATGGCTAAAGGATTTGGTCTTAATGAGGAGGATTTGCAAATCTTTGGTACTAATGATCCCGAGAGTGAACGTAGCCTCAAATTTTCAAGAGGCATGGAGAACCTCCTCAGCGGCTACAGGGAGCTGTACTATGAAAAAATGCGTCGTCAATGCCAAAGAACTTTAGACAAGTTTTTTGCCCCAAGAGCAAACCCTGCAGCAACTGAAGAAGATGGTGATTTACAGGGTGAGGCAGGAGTCAGCAGCAACCCTCCATCTCCCTCTCAAAAACTCTGATTGCACCACCTCACCTCACTCAGCATTGTTTCTAGTATGTTAAATTTGAGTGTTTTGTGCATTTATTATCAAGTTACATTATGAATGAATCATTGTATGCATTTAAAACTGTCTATTTTCATTTCTTAACCAAAAAAATGTCCATAGGAATGTATCTCAAATTCTATTATGGAAGTCAATGGGAAAATTGGTCCCACGTTACAGACAAATTTTCAGGAACGAAACATCCTTCTGTAGCCCGAGGTATGCCTGTATCTACAGTACACGACCACACCTGTACAGTACTTGGCTTGTGTGTCTGACGCTTGGGTTTCACTCTTGTATGAGCAAACCCACCCACCATCTCTCGCTAGCTCGTCTGTGATCATTTCAAAAAAAGATAAATAAAAGCATTACGGTACTCTAATGTGGCTTAGAAATCAAGAAGATATAACATAAAATTAGAAAATAAGAAAAATGAAGAGCACGGGTGTGTTTGTGTGGGAAGTGAACGTTTATGTGGAAGCAGTGAGCTGTAACTGCATAGATGACTCACCAATCTGCTTCCCTTCCTCCCTCCAGCTGCCTGCAGGGTGTCTGCCCAACTGTACTAGTAAATGTGAGAAATAAAAAACTAATACTGTACACAAAACTCTTGAAAGTAATTCACCACAAATGATGTTGAGTGTTGCGTCAGGTGAGTTTTATATCAAACATAATTCTTTCATGAGCTCTTTTAGTGCGACTGCCTTCATTTGCACTAGATGGCCTCTTTCCACTCGTCCTCAATAACATACATACGTTGGTGTTAAATCCAAGAGTTGGGGTCAAGAGATCAAGCGTACACACTGGGAGATAACACACTGAGTTGGTGTGGATACACCGGCGTATCCACGGTTGGTGGTAGCAAATTCCAAATAAATTAGAATTTCTGTTATATTTTTTTTCTATATCACAATTTTTGTGTTGAATATTTTTAAAATTTACCCCATTTCCATAAGATCAAATTTATGGGCCATAATCAGAATTTAGTGGTCATAATTTACAAATTCTGGTTGGGCGAATTTCTGCAACCCAAATTTCCGTAATGCGAGGGATACCTGGAACTAACCCGCCAATTATCACGACTCCACTGTACACGAACAGGCAAGAAATTAAGAATACAGACATAAACTCACAGCACAGATAAGAGCCAGTTCTTTGTGGATGTTCTCAGTATGGTCTAGTCTAAGGTTAGCCAGCTTGGGACAAGCCTTCACAACACATCTAAGTTCGTCCATGTTCAGCTCCTCTGCGTAGGCCACACTGAGGCTGGTGACAGCAAGGGTTCGCTCACTGTTGCCATTCTTGTTCTGAAAGAAAGGTCTATTAATATTTTTTTTTCATGTCTAAAATTTCATAACAAATGAGATTTTGCAATGTAGAATAATAATAATACAATTAGAGATGAAAAAAGTGGGGGGAGGTTGTTTTGAACAAATAATTAAATAATAATAATATATATGAGAGAGAGAGAGAGATTTCTCCCTCCAACATCATAATTAATTCTTTATAACACAAACTAAACAATAGATGAACTACTGACCACGTGATATTTACCCTTTGTTTAGCCTCCATATCCAGCAGGTACAATACAGCAGAGTAAGTGTCCCAAGATTGTAAAGTTTCCACTACCTTAAGCTTGGGCTGGACAGCTAATGCCACAGCTCCCAGAGACACCCGCATGGCATTGACCTGTGCCTTGCATTGTAGCATGTTGTTCCTCAGCACCTCCAGGTGAGGCAGAGACAAATGCCAAGTACCTGGCTCCTGTAATATAAAAAATATATATGTGAATGTTTGTATTACTAGAGCAACATTGTCCTCACTTGATGTTGTGGGTCACACATCACTAGGTGAGGACAATGTTGCTGTAGTAATACAAACCTTTACCCGATCACCGTGGAAATCTGTAAGTTTTCAGTAAGTTAGTCAACTGGGGTGTTGACTGGTTTCTTATAAACACTTTTAATACTCTTAACACACACACACACACACACACACAATCCAATAACTGGAAAATACTCTCACAAATAATCAGAAACAAATTTATTAAAAATGTGACAGTCTACCCTCAAGTCCGTGCTCTATTTATTAAAGCACGGACTTGAGGGTAGACTGTGGGCTCGTAACACTCGTGTTGCTCGCAGTGCCCACCACTTCTCTGAGGATGTAGGTCACATTAGAATAACCCGTTATTGTACATCCTTCTTTCCTCACACAGCTAAACTGTGGAATGCTCTGCCGTCTTCTGTGTTTCCATACCCATACAATCTGTCTCGCTTCTAAAAGCTGGTTTTCCGGCATCTTCGTGGTGTAGATTAATAAAATCTTTTTCTTTTCTATTTTTCATTTCTTTGAACTCTTTATTTTTTTGCTCCCTAGGCCCCGTTGTGGGTCGATGACCTGTGCCAGGGTGGGCTATTCCCCATAAAAAAACAAAAACATTCTACACATATTTCATTTCTTTGGAGAAGCATTAAATATTTTTAATACTGTATGTTTCATGAAATAATTTTTAAGGGTTTAATAAGTATAAAGCAAATGAAGAAAGTGGATCAACTGATGGCAGTGTGAGCTAACATGCTGTCTGCAAGCAGAGGCCACCAGGCCCAGAACTACACCGCTCCAACACAGCACAAGTCACCCGGAGTCCAAACATCTCTAGTGCAGACTCAAGGCCAAACACAGTAAAATCAGAATGTACTGTACTATAAGAGGTTATTAAAGTGTGACTGACATCCACAGAGAAACGGTGGGCACCGCGGGCATGACGTGTGTTACGAGCCCAAGGCCTTGCCGGCGGTACACAGGATGCCAAATCCACCGAACATTGCCCATTAAAGTACCTGCAAAAGAGAGAGAGTGAAGCAACATTGCAGCAGAGAGAAATGGAAGAGTGATTGTCAACTAAAGGAGGAGAGTTAATAAGACGAAATGCCTTTGATTCCACCCTATCTAACAGTTGGACAGAAGAAGAGCCACCCCAGATATGAGAGCAGTACTCCAAGTAAGGATGAATGAATCCCTTATATACTTGGTGCAACTGCACAGGAGTGAAGTAGCTACGGCATTTGTATAGCATTCCCCGCTTTCGGGAGGCAGCTTTAGCAAGGAAGCTAGAAATTAGAGAACAAAGTGGGGGAGAGAAACAATACACTCATGTCACCAAGATGTGCTGTAGTGTCATATAAATATCTTCATATCTGGTGCATTTTTATTGAAAATAATAATTTACTAAATATTCTAGCTAATAGTTTTTTAATAAAATATGTTTGAAGGGAATATCAGTGTGTAAGCAGCGTTCTGCTGCACAAACCCACAAGTTTCAACTTACTGGAAGTGAGGGTAAATTCCACAACTGCAGTGTAATTTAGGCATTTGGGTCTCAGTTTAAAAAACCCTGAGTAACTCAACACCGCTAAAAATGTCCAAATTAGAAGGGCTTGAGGGTATTCTGCCATACCCATGTTCTTTTACCCCCCTAAGTTTGGGTGGCAGGATACATCATATCTTCATGAGTTATGAGAACAAACAAAAACACACCAACAAATATATTAATATGATACATCCCCAGACTGCACCTTGAGACACACACAATAGGCTCCCCTGGACTTAAAAGGGTTAAATTAGAAATAGGTTCTACGTATAATTATATTGGTCACTTCTTCTATATTGAAAATTTAAGTGAATTTAATCTATGTTGTAACATCAGTATGAGAACATTAAAACTATTAGATAGAGTATTTCATAACATCAACAGCTACCATGCACTGCTCACCTTGGAATCCTTAAGAGCCATCTCTAATACTTTGTCACTTTTCTTGTTGTTAATATTCCACAGGGCACTGCACATAACTTTATCAGAAACCCCGCCGGCCAGTTCTACCATACGTAAGTTCCTGCAACAACATTAACTCAAAATAACATTGGAGCTGAGCAGAGAGAACTACAAAGATTTCTTTAACTTAAAACAAGATACATGAAGACAACACATTCACCTGGCTGGCTCTCTTGGTAGTACAGATATAGTTGCCCACAGGTAGAGTGTTCCACCCCTCGGTCACCTTTCCAATCATGTGGCCACGTTGGAATCATAGTTGAACCTTCTTTACAGATGTTACATCTATTATATCACTTATCACAAATCTCAAGTACAAATACTGTATTACTGAAAAAATATACCACCAAAGGGGTGAAACACTATACCTGTGGGCAACTGTACAAGACCATTTATCCAGCTTCCAGGAAACTAGATTTACCTGAAACCAGTTGTTTTTGAACCTAGTTAGTTGTGGGTCTTTGTTTGTTTGTCATGATGGGTGATTCTCCTTGCACTCTCTCACCAGCATTTTTACAGGTGGTTTCTGACCACTCAGTGCCAGAGAATGATGTATGAACAGTGTGAAGATCATCTAATATCATGTAAAGTAACCATTATAAGTAATAATAGAACTTCCCATAACACATCACCAGTCAGCTGTGAGATGGCTACACACAATGCCAGTGTTGCATGTAGCTAAAGAAACTATAAAGTTTAATAAAAATCATTTCAACTATAAAATGAGAAAAATGAAGAGGGTGGGTATATATTGTGTGGTAGGTGAGTGTTTGCGTGGAGGCAGTGATTGATTGTGGTACAGTGGGGTATGCTATAACGAACGAATCCTACTACGAATATTCCTATAACAAATGGTTTTACCTATAAAATTGAGAATGTTATAATGAACGCAACTCCTACAACGGACGCGGATGAATACGGGACTATTTCGCCTGGCGCATGAATATTGTTGTACCGCGACCCACAACAAGAGCGTCAGGCGCCATCTTTGTCTCATTGTGTAGCCAGTGCACCACTGTTATTGTTGAAATTTCGTCTTTTGATGTGGAAATTCGCGTTATTTTTATAACTATTTTGTTATACAAGTATACAATTGTAACAATGAATCATCCAAAGCGAGTGAGAAAGCTAATAACTCTTGAAACTAAGAAAGAAATTATAAAGAAACGTGAGAATGGAAGAAGCATTGCGAAACTTAGTGATGAATATGGGATGGCTAAATCGACTATATGTACGATTTTGAAGAATAAAGGGGAATTAAAAACTGTGCAAGTGGCTAAGGGAATCTTTAGACTTAGGCAAAGCAAGGTGTAATGTGATTGAAGAGATGGAAAATTTACTCTTAGTGTGGATAAAGGAGAAAGAAATGGCAGGTGGTAACATAAGTGAAGCTATGATTTGTGAGAAGACTAAATAATTGTTTGAGGACCTTAAAGCCAAGACTCCCAATGGAAGTGATAGTGCTGTGCCAGTGTTTAGGGGTACCTGCATGCTGAATAACACTAAGGTAAGATAAAGTACCGTATTTTTTACATTTTCCACAGAATTTTTTCAGTGTTAAGTGGTTGTATTTGGGGGCCTGGAACGGATTAATCCTATAACGAACGAATGCTATAACGAACGAGGTTCTGGAACCAATTACGTTCGTTATAGCATACCCCACTGTAATTATATTCCTGGCGACGCAACAGCTGAGGTCATAAGTTGCCAAATTAAAGGCTTAAAAGACTAACGACTTTATGTTAAAAGTGAATTGTGTGTCTGCAAAATTTCCCCAATAGAAAATCTTTATGTTAAAAGCTAGTTTTCATTTAAAAAATTTGGTGCATTCATAAAAATATTGGAATTTGGACACAAAATTTTGAGGAGGGTTTTATTTGATAACATGTAGATATCTTAAAGTCTTCTCCTATATTTATAATACAGTACAGTACAGTCAGTTCTGCTATAACGCGATAGTTGTGTTCTTGTAAAATATCGTGTTATAGAAAATCGCGTAATAGAAATAACAGGGCTTATGGAGAAAATAGGGTTAGGTGCAGATTACTACTCGAAATCGAAAAAAAATTAGTAGTTAGCCTAACACAAAGGATAGCACAGTCTAAATAAATGTTACATTCATATCTATTAATAAAATCATACAGTAAATGTAACGCTTTACCTTGAAAAAATATGAATATAACTTGATGGGGGAAAAGGGTGATTTTGAGGTTGATAACATCGAGCTTCTCTTCAAGTGTTATATCCTTTCTTTTAAGATCATCACCGGGAATTCGATCACCAGAACGCTTCTTGGAGATATTCTTCTTTACCATATTCACAGTTAATACCACAAAATTGGAGAAATAGTAAGCAAAAATCGCGTTACAGCAAACAAGCGTTTGCGTTATACAAATATCGTTCCTCTATTCATAAATCGCGTTAGAGCAAATTCGCGTTATCAAAACACGCGTTATAGCAGAACTCACTGTATAGTAAAAATTTTCTAATTTTCTCAAGTTTTCACAATACTCATGATTCATAGAGATCCAATCTCTCTGATATCAACAGACCTGCTGGTGGATGATCCTGACCTTAACAAAGCTGATATCAACAGACCTGCTGGTGGATGATCCTGACCTTATCATAGCTGATATCAACAGACCTGCTGGTGGATGATTCTGGCCTTAACAAAGCAAACTTTGATTATAACTTTTATATTATACAGTAATGTATGTTAAGTTGAAGGTTGATATATTTTTTATTTTATTATAGCTGTGATGTAATCAGGTAAAGTAAGAGAGAGTTTATAGTCTCGTTGATGTGTATTAAGGTTGGCCAGTAATATGAGTTGCTCTGTCCAAGGAAGATGAACGTTTTTCCATTGTTTCATACTCACTCTGAAAACAAATTATTGTAGAGATGATAAATACATTATAATTAGAAAGGTTAACCCAAGAAAAACAAAAACAAAACATTTTTAGAACCACTTATATCATTCATTATATTTTACCATCAATATCTTATTTTTCTTTTTACTTACAAGTTATTTAGGTTAAAACTCATGTTTAAATCCTAAAAGAATAATGTTATTTATATTTTTCTTCAGTTATAGTTTGCAGAGGTATGTATTGCAGCATTATGTTAGGTAGGTGGCATATTAGGTTATCATATTACTTGAGATATATTATACCTGTACTGTGGAGCGAGAGTAAACACATAAAGACTATACTGTACCTACTCTATGTGCACAACTTTTCACTCATTTAGTGTGGATAAGAAAAATATAAAATTGTGATAACAGCAATGATTGTATTATATAAAGGAGGTTTATTGAAGTGTGTTTCAATTTACATCATGATTATTTGCAGTTTATCTTTTTAGAAAATTGTCATTGTTGCAGTTCTGGCCATCATGGCCACTCGACAGAATGCTTCAATGCCGGATGAAATTGATTGCCAAGACTTTGTTGAGAACCAAGGATCCTGATAACCTGATGACCCAATATCCCATCCCCGAAGAGCCCCATATCAATGGGCAGAAGAATATTGTTAGCAATATCAAATGAGCCCATATACCCTGTACATATTAATTATTTCTAGAATTACTTACCTGCAGTTCTAAAAATTACTGGACTTTGTTTCTTAAGTAAAAGTAAAAATATCCAAAAGTCAATGTACTCAAGTAGAAATAAAAAAGTATCTCATTTTTAAGGTACAGTGGTCCCTCGGTTAACGAGCACAATCCCTTCCAGCATGTTGCTCGTTAACCGAAAAACTCGTTAACGAAACCATTGTTTCAATGGGTTTTTTGGGTAATTGGTTCCAGCTCACAGAAAATTGCCTAAATTCAACAAAAAATGTAGAAAAGTAAACTTACTTTGAGGTGTGTATGTAGAAGGCTCCTGGATGATGATGATGGGAATTAGAATGGGGGTGGAGGAGAAGGGAAGGCATTGGGGTGGAAGGGAAATCACCCCATATCGCCATTTCACCCATAAAATTTTAGTTCTCTTGGTGTAATTCAAAATTATTTTCTTTAAATCAACACTGCACTGCATTATATATTGTCAATATGTAAAATAAATTTCAAAATGACCAATAATTTGCTTGGAAACACAGAAAAAAGAGTTTAGGTTTAGGGAGTCTCAAGCAAGATGTTACCTCCACTGAAAAGACAGAGAGACTGGTGCCTGTTTGGTGTGTTGCCAGGCTGGATGGCGAGCATAAAACTAGTTTCCTTACCTTCAATTATGTTCAATAATTGTTAAAATGACAAAAAAATTAATATTTAGCTTTTAAAATTATTGAATAGTATAAACTTCTTGACATTTACTAAAATAGTAAGGAATTTAAGCCCTAAAACTGATTACTGTATTAGCGGACTAATACTACAGCTGGTGGACCACCAAATGCAAGCAAAAACATGTTGAGGTCGGCTCGTAAAAAACTCGTTAATCAAGGGATTGCTCGTTAACTGAAGTTAAGAATCTTATGGAAGGCAACTCGTTTACCGAAATCTCGTTAACCGAGGCGCTCGTTAACTGAGGGATCACTGTACTCAGGTACTGAAAGTAACAAGTAACAACAAAATTATTTGTCTCAAATATTAGAATAAAACCACAGTAAATTATAAAAAAAATAGTTAAATAAAGATAAAAATAAAAGATACATAACATTTAAAATTATCAAAATTATGGCTGTCCATTCAGGATCTTTTGGCCTAAATATAAGCTCAGCGTGACCTACTGAAAGAGAATACGTTCAGCCGCTCTTCTCCCTACAATCCATCAAAGGGATAGTGAACGGACTGAAAATATATCCATCCAACACTATGATCACTTTTTTCCTTATCCACACAAGTATCATGAACGAGGACTTATGGTCCGCAGGCATAATGTTGTCTCTGGTCGCATTAGGTTAGGAAACAGACCTATCTGGTAAGTATCTGAGGCGGGGGATGACCCGCACTTCTCTTCCTGTAAACTCTGTAGCTGTCCCAACACTAACACCCTTCAACACTACTGTATTGCCTTGACTGTCCCACCGTCAGAGGCATTTGCTACTATTAATAAGGGGATGCAGATGTTTGACAAAATGGATGAAGATGTTGAGCGTTTTTCAAAAGTTGACAGAATGATCCAAGATGTGCTTGCTTGTTACAGGGAGATTTACAATGAAAAGAAAAGGCAAACTGTGCAGTCTAAATTGGACAAATATTTTAAGAAGTCCCCCATTGCTGTCTCCTCACGCCCCACCAGTGCTGCCTCTTCACTCCCTAAAGATGATCCAATACTTTCAACAAGCAAGTTTCCCCTGTATGTTAACCTGTCTGAAGAAAGCGACTTTGATGACCCACCCAGCCCTGTCTCCTCTGCTTCATCCAAGTAATGTAGTCTCCATGTTTAATTAGAAAATTACTGAGGCCCTGTGTGCATTCAGCTGACTACATTAAAGGTAAGTGCACAGAAACACTGTATCCATTCTTTATTATTGATTACTTTTACTGTACTGTATTTCATTTTAGAATTTCTATATTATTTTTTGCATTTTCGACTTACGACCTGGATTTGGGTCCCCAACCCCGTCGTAAGTCGGGGAGAGAGAGAACACACACACACACACACGTGTAAAAAAACCTCGATTAACTAGGGAATATGATGCAGCAAACTGTATTACTATATCCCTTTTGGTTTTCTAGTAATAAAATATCTAAGAGACTTTTTGGACACCCTGTACAGTACTATGAGAATTTTAGGCTCAGGATCAGGAATGAGAGGGGTCTAAGGATTGACATAGCTTCTCAGTTTACAGGAACTCAAAGGAACTACAGTATATGAATGTAATAATTTAATTTCACTACAGTACAGGTTGATAATCCCTTATCCGAAATCCTTGGGACCAGATACATTTCGGTTTTCGGAATTTTTCGGATTTCAGAATGGTTATTTATTTTTTTTTTTTAACAGGGAACAGCCCACCCGGGCACAGGACACTGACCCACATTGGGGCCTGGAGGCTAAAATATAATAATAATAATAATAATAATAATAATAATAATAATAATAATAATAATAATAATAATAATAATAATAATAATAATAATAATAATAATAATTTATAGGTCTAGGTCGCGTTTCTTACTTTTGATCTTTTTTCATTCTTGTATTTCTTTATTATTATTAATTTATTATTACAGTATTATTGTTATTATTATTATTATTATTATTGTTATCTTTCTTATTTTATTTTTGTGTACTTTTTATTAAAAATTTTATTTACTATGAATAATAATAATTATTATTATTATTATTATTATTATTATAATTATTATTATAATTATTATTATTATTACATTTTCGCCCCCCAGGCTTCGATGTGGGTCAGTGACCTGTGCCCGGGCTGTTCCCGAAAAAAAAAAATGCTCCACAAAAAACTTTCGGTTTTCGGAATTTCTGATAAAGGGTTGTCAACCTGTATAATTAACACGAACATTTACTTACACCTGGCCCATTCCTGCAGTGTTATATTCACTGGTAATTCCTGCCAGGCATTGTTTTTCTTGTCATTTATCATATCTTTCTTATCACTGACCAAGTCATCCAGGAGCCGTGCTTGTCATGTTACTCACGCCTGAAAATTAAACAAACAGCACCACGGGTGTCAACCCCACCGTGTTGCTGGAACCTGAGAGTGCAGAATTTTATGTGGATTTAGCATAGCAAAAATCTTAAAACCCCTTTGTTGTCAAAGGATTTTGTGCTTCTCAAATTTGACACAAAATACACTTTTTAGCATTTGACCGTCCGGACCAGAGATATCCCAAATCCAGGAAACCGGTTCACCTCAGGTCCCAACCTTGGCAGTTAAATAGTTTGGTACCTGTACCATATGGACAACTTAATTCACCACAACACTATCACTTTGGCATCTACACATGACTAGCCCATATGTACCATTTATACCAACTGGGTGAAATTATGTTGAAAACTGGCATATAAGATTAGTTTTCTCACACACAAATAGTTTTATCCCCTACTGGTACACCCGTATAATAAAAACCAATAACAAACTTACGAAAACTTAACACAGTTCTGGAAGGACTGGTTATCACTGAGCGGCATAAAAAGTTTCTCCAAGTTTGGTGAATGATGCATCAGAAATTCAAACATAGGATCAGCCTGACTCAGCTGCTTGAGGGCAAAAGACGGTTTACCAGACTCATACAGATTCTTCAGCTCCCCAACTATAGTGTCTTCAAAGAGTGGCAGACATCCATCCGGCACCCACATATTCTCTAGTCCCAATCTTAGGGCCACTATGATCAGGTGGGTGTTGTAATGCATCATGCCAATATCTGTGTCATCATCAATGCACTGCCACTGAAATCAACAAAACAGAGTTGCTATAAATATACAAAAGAAAAGAAAAATAAGTAAAATAGATGTTGCTCATTATGAAATAGAATCAATTTTGATTACAGTAATTGAAAAATCATCTGGCAGTGAAACCAGGACCAAATGGACAATGTTTATTAACCACAGGAACAGAAGCACCTTAAGGAAAAACAACTACAGTAAACCCTCAAAAGTCCAGACCACATAAGTTCGGATTCCAGATGGTCCAGTCCCTTTCAGGGCAGGAAACATTTGTCCAAACCCTTAAATATTTGTAATTTGAAATTCCCGCCATGCACGGTCATTATAATTGCAGCCAACAAGCAATCCTTTGAGCCCTTTCCTCCTTCGGACCCACGACTGAACAGTTTATTCCCCCACTCTTATAATGGACTCGCCCATAATGCTGCACTATGATTGGTTAGCTATAAGATCAACACATATTCAGCCAAAGAATGGTGATGATAATCCTCCTGGGAAGAGCAAACACATGTGTGGGCGCACCCACACAACACAATGCACACGCACACTCCACAACACACTACTACTTTGCTGTCACTCGGAATCGAGTATGACGATCATCTAGCTATGATACAATGATATGAGTTATTAGGGATGTCACCTTCGTTGATGAGTTCTGAGGAGACTAAAGAGGCCGATACAGGACCGGTAGGGCCGTTCACATATGTTGCACGTGTGGAAGGCTACATCTAGTGCGGGAGGGGCGACGCAGCGTCTTTCCAACGTTGGCGCTTGTCTGCTCCTCCAAGCATTACGATTTTAAGTAATCGTCTCCCAGGTGAGGGGGTTGAGTTTGGCACTTTTTGAGGTTTGTCTTAAGACTATTCTTATACCTTTTCAGTTGCCCACCAGCGTTCGTTTACTATTTGATAGGTGACTGTAAAGTAGCTGCTTTAGCAGTCTACTGTCGTCCATGCGGGTAACATGGCCAGTCCAACGTAGTTGTTCATGGATAATGGTAGCCTCGATACTCCTACAGTTGGTGTCAGCAAGAATACTGGCATTTGTTCTCGTCTTCCCAGCGAACTCGGAGGATGGAACGAAGACTACGTTGGTGAAAGTTTTCAAGTGCATTGAGGTGCCTCCTATATGTGACCCATGTCTCGCTGCCATATAGCAGGTTGGGGAGGACCACTGCTTGATATACGTGCAACTTCATAGATAATTTCAGCTCCCTACAGCTGAAGACACGATTTTGGAGTACGCCCAAGGCTTGAGATGCACATCTGATCCGATGTTGAATCTCTTCATCGATGTCTGCGGTAGTGGACAGGTGGGAGCCAAGATACCAAAAGTGGGCAACATTTTTAGAGAAGGTAATACCGTTAAGCTGGATGGATGGTGGCGGTGTGGCCGAACCAGGAGCAGGCTGAAAGAGAATCTGAGTCTTAAGTTTATTCACCTCGCCCTAGTGTGCATAAGCGTCTGCGTAGGTGTTCAGGATCTCTTGTAGGTCATGTTCAGTGTGAGCAACAAGGGTGAGGTCGTCTGCATACTGAAGTTCAGGAATGGAAGCAGCTGACACCTTTGTTCCTGCTGAAGTCGTTTAATGTTGAAAAGATCCCCCCTTTACCCGGTACTTGATGTTGACCCCGCTGGCTAAATTGGCACTGGCACGAGTAAGGAAGGCAGCCAAGAAGATGCAAAAGAAAGTTGGTGCCAGTCCACACCCTTTTTAACCCCCGCTTGGATGGGGAAGAACGCAGACTGGGTGCCGTTCATGCCATTGTGTAGTTGCCTCACAACGGCTATGAATTTTGGTGGGCAGTCAAAACGGCTGAGGGAAGAGGGCATTCCTGTTGACCGAGTTGATGGCCTTGGTTGGATCGATGATTCCATGTACAGGTCACGACGCTGTTCTCTGCACTTTTCCTATATCTGGCAGGCAGCAAAGATCATGTCAAGGGTGCCATGTGATGGTCTAAAACCACACTAAGATTCTGGGAGGAAGTTTTCCGCCTCAGGAAGAAGTCTGTTTAGGAGCAGCGAGATCCCACGGTAGTTGCCACAGTCTGACCGGTCTCCCTTATTCTTATAAATATTGACAATGGAGGCTTCTTTAAGAGCTTGGGGGATTTCCTCCTTTTCCCGTATATTCTCCAGGAGAGAGTGGAGACAGCTGGTAAGCAGAGGTCCTCCTGCTTTATACACCTCGGCTGGGATTCCATCAGGCCCTGAGGATTTGTCATTTTCCATCTGTTTAATGGCAGTAGCTACCTCATCCAGGGATGGAGGATAGCTGAGATGAGTCAGCTCTAGATGCTGAGGAACCTGCTGGGTAATCAGAACATCCACATAGGTGTTTCGGTTGAGCAGTGAATGGCAGTGCTCTTTCCAGCGCTGAAGGAGGCCTTCGTCGTCTTTAATTATATGGTTACCGTCAGATGAGCGGGGTTGCCCACATTGACTGGCCCATAGAATGTTTTAGTGGAAATGAAAAATTCTCGCATCTTGTGCTGATCTGCAGGTTTTTGTGCTTCACATGCTTTATTTTTAAGCCAGTCATTCTTTAGATTGTGAAGTTCCCTCTGGGCTGCCGCTTTCTTCTTGCGGAAGGTATCAGCTTTGGTCCAAGACTGAGGGTTGTTCTGCCAGTCAGTTAAAACAGCACGTTTTTCATCGATGAGTACCTTGATTGCCGGGTGATTTTAATCAAACCAGTCCTGGTGTATTCTTTTGAACTGGCCGGGGGTCTCTCTGCAGGTTTTTGTCTTAACAGTATTAAGAGTATCCCATCCGGCACTGAGATTCCCGTTGTTTGCTGTTGGGTTGTTATAAGCTCATGTTCGAGCTGCTCTCTGAAAGCATGTGCTACCGCTGGATCCTCCAGATGCTTAGTATTAAAACCTCTTCTGGAGGCTTGCTGTCTTCGTCATTTTGGGGCGACGTGAAGTGAGAGCTTAGATCTGGCAAGTCGATGATCAGTGTCACAGTGGTCTGAGCCACGCATGGCATGGGTGATGAAGACATCTCGGCGATCTTTTTCTCTGACAATGATGTAGTCAATGATATGCCAGTGTTTGGATCGTGGGTGTTGCCATGAACCCTTGAATTTGTCGGCCCACCTAAACAAGGTATTGGTGATAGTGAGGTTGTGAGCAGCACACTTGCAGAGGAGTAGTAGGCCGTTGGGATTACATTTGCCTAGTCCATTTCTCACTATGGTTCCCTGCCAAATGTTAGCATCTCTACCAACTCTGGCATTGAAGTCACCAATGAGCACAGCCTTGTCTTCTCTGGGGATAGAGGTTAGCACTCTGTCGGGGTCAACGTAATATGTCTCCTTGATGTCATCCTATGCATCCAGTGTTAGGGCGTATGCACTGATGAAATAGGTCTGACGTGAGTGATTCAGTGGAACTCGAAGCGTCATGGGGCATTTCAGTTAGCCTGTGTAGGATGCATTGGCAGATGGCAAAGTCAACTCCATAAATGCAGTTTCTCTCCGCAGCAGGCTTACCCTTCCAGAAGGTGTAGCCAGACCCCCGTTCTGTGAGTTGGCCCTCATCTGGCAGACGGGCCTCACTGACAGCTGCTATGTCGATGTTGTGCCTAGCCAGCTCTTTTGCCACAAGGGCAGTTCTTCTTTCAGGACGCACATTTGTGCCAGTATCCAGAAGGGTCCTGACATTCCATGCAGCGACCATAAGAGGTTGATGGTTTGCTTTTGTTTGGATCTGTGATTTTGATTGTGTTTTCGACCGCATAAGGATGACCTTACTGGGTGCAGTTGCCCAGTCACGTTGGGTTTTTAGGTAGGCTATGTTTAGGCCACTTTTTCTAGCCCCCTCCCCATGTGGGGTGGGCAGAGTGGCTGCTCGACAGGACTGCTCAGTCACACAGACAGGACCGGATTGCACTGCTGCCTAGATCCCAGTGCATAAACGACCATCTAATCTGTACCACCCATGTGCAGAGTTGTGACTAGAGACTCCTGGCAGTCATCTCTGCCTGTCCCCGTTGTCACTCGTCCGTCGCCATCGGTTTTTTGGGGGTATAGGGGTTTGGTGATGATGAGAGGTATGATGGGCAGGGTGATGGCTGCGTGTGAGTTGATTTATGTGGTGAGGCAGGAGGACTGGCTGCAACCACACATCTTGGCTCTCCCTTTTCCTGATCAAGTGGTGCAAGTGCTGCAACGACTGGGGAGAGGAAGAGTTGCAATTGACTGCTGACAGCCCAGTTTGTTGGGTTTCGCCTTAATAGCCTGACCATCAGGCATTGCCTTCGTCTGCCGGTTCCCATGGTGGTCAGCTCTACCGCCTTCACCGCCATTGGGGTCTTGTTGGAGCTCTGCAAGCATGTCTGCCTGATGTGGGGCTCCACCCTCAGATTCTTTGTTCGGGGTTTACACCCGTAGCCTTATACCTGCCAAGGTTAATCCGCAAGGCAGCGGGGCAGTGGTTAGCAGGCATCAGAATGTGTCCACATGCCAGTGGGCCATGCACCGTCCATCTGGGGCCCACTGCTACTCCGAGATCCCCTAATGGTCTAGCCTGGACCCACGAGGCACCCAGTTACCATGTGTTGCCACAAGGAGGCACAGCAGGAGTCTTGATGGTGAGGAGGCTGTGTACTGGCAGGGAAAGACTTATGCAAGTTTACTTCCCTGTTCGCCACGAGGGCTAGCAAACGGCGGCAGCTGAAAGCGAGAGGGAGCAAGCAGTGCTTGCACCTTAACACTAACATAATGCTGCCACTCTAGACGCATTTCACCACCGTGTGCGAACACACACGTGCGCACACTCGCACACAACCCTTATTTATGTACTGTACAGCCCTGTAAATGTATTGAATGCAAATCATATGTTTAAATCACATGTAAGTTTGTATATTTTCAGCCACCGTCTGCAACTCTATTAATAAACTGTTTATTATTATTATTATTAAAATGGCCTCTAAGTGCATAGTGACCGCGAGCGCTCGCCGTCAAACAACACTGTCCCCTTATCTCCCTCGCCACT